GGGGGGGGCAAAATGGGGAGCCGGGAGGAGTGAGCAAACTGTTCCCCTGGTCTTGGACTACAATGGCCATTGGGCTCAGCCTGCATGGGCACAGCCATCCCAGGGCATAGAACTAACCCTGGTTCGTCTTAAATCTTGGTTAAAGGCGGGCTGTGGCTTGGTGGGTGGGTGGGGGTTGCAAAGCCCAAGGGAGAGTCAGACATATTTAGAGCAGAAACCCCCCCCCCCAAACTGGAGGGTCCCTCTGTGTGTGTACGTGGGGATCTCTTCCCAGCAGAGAACCCATCATCTCTGCATTTGTGCAAAAAAAAAAAAATTCGTATTAAGGTTAAAAAAAAGACCTGTTTTTACCCCCCATGCTAAACCTTTTTACCTGCAGCTTTCCATAACTAAAAGCAAAAAAAATCAAATAATAATAATTATTTGTGGCATTTATACCCCCACTTGCAACTCTGGGTGCTTAAATCCTACCAGACCGATGTGTGCTCCTCTGCGGGGTCTCGAGAGCGTGCTCACCCCCAATTGTCTGAACAGATGAACCAGTTGCTTGCTCTCCAGAATTAGGAGGAGGGGGGTATATTTTCCAGTGTATTTTTTATTTTTTATAAAAGTGAAATACCCCTCAAGCGTCATCACAAAATCTCCAGCACCGTAAAGCCTACAAACTTGAAATTGGGCCCGTATGTTCCTCTTGGCTTCTAAGGATTTTTCCAAATGACCCTCAGAGCATTAAGACTGTTTCCTATATTATTATTATTATTAACACGCTCTGATGCTAAGGAGTTCTGCTCCCCCCTCCCCACCTGGAAAGAACTCTGGTCCAACTGCCAGTTGCCTCACATTCCGTTAGCTCAGTTCAAACTGCCAGACTTTTGACGCCTTCACTCGGGAGCCGTCTGGGGCTCCTTACAGTACTAAATGTCTACGTCTTCTACCTATGGAACTGTTTCCAGCCTCAAGGCGGCGGGAGTGATATTCCCTTTTGACTTTCAATCACCGCCCCAACTCACTTCTTACACAGACCTCCTCAGTTCAGACAACTCTGTCCCTTCTACTGTAACACCAGTTAAAGGGAAAAGAGGGAGAAACCGCAGGAGATTTACAGATGCGATTAGGAAAACACAACTCAGGAAAGCTGCCAAAAAGTATCGTCAACACCACCCCAAAGTCAATAGAGAGGCTGTAAAAAAGTATGCCTCTAAAAACCCCCATGTTAATCAGGCAGCTACCGCTAGATACAATAAAAAGAGATCACAAATCCGATCAACGCCTAGGACTAATAAGCATTTGTCTGGTTTTAAATATGAACCTCAGATTGATTACTCCAGGGGAAAGGTTGTTGGTCTAGGACCTCGGTTACCCTGTGCCTGCTGCCGTGCCCTGAAGTGGCAGGATGAGAGACCCGGGATGTGCTGCAATGGCGGTAAAGTCCAGCTCCCTCCCCTTGAGCCCTACCCTGGACCCTTACACGGCCTTCTCGCCCACCAGCATCCAATGGCAGATCACTTTCTGCTGCCCGGAAGTACAACGGATGCTTCCAAATGACGTATTTTGGAGCCAGAGAGGGGAAGGAGGGAAATGTTATGCCTACATTCAAAGTGGCAGGTCTACTACAAGATAGGGAGTATCACGGTGGGGTCACAGCAGTAGCCTTCATTTCTCCAGATACGCTTTATTGGTGGTGATGACAACAAGAGGGACATCCGCTGTGGAATCTTAATTTAATTTTCAAGCTTTATCAAGGCCGATCACATAGTTTCATAGCGAAGCACGGGTATCCAGCTAGT